AGCAAATTGAACACACTTTAGATAAAATACACTGACTTTTAAAGGGAGCATGGCAGTATAAAACAGACAAACATACATAGAACATATTTCACTACTATCCTGGCACTGGGCCCTATTGTTTAATTCTTCTTAATTATCTATATATATAACAGTAGCATAACACCCAACTTCTTTTCAATGGAAGGTGAGATGTATATAGCTACACTATGATGATTGTGTGTAGCTAACTAGTACTTTCAAGGTGAAATGTGGAAGAGATTGGACTAAATATGAGCAGTTTCATGGTGAAATGTGGATATTAAATAGATAGGAATTTCCCCCTATTATGCAGCTGCTGGCCTCCAGAACAGTGGAGAATATTCCACGCTACTTTTTGGTGACTCTCGCTACAATGACGGAAGACCGGAACATGAAGTTCAATCACAGCGTAGATGTTGCAAGTGTGTAATTCTTTGAGTGTGCTCTTCTCCGTATTTTTAACCCTCTTTCGAAGCATATCATAGCTGCGCAAGCACCACTTGAAATGTGCGCATGCGCTGAATCAGTACTTGCGCATGCTCACACGATCACTGAGGGGTCAAAGTCGAGACGAGACGACCAGACGCTGCAATGGGGGCGAATTTCTCAACCATGTCGCTGGTAAGGGCTACTCACTTGGCGTGCTTCTCTGCCTGGTACGGAACGCAGATATGGGTAACCTTCTTCGCCGGTAAGTGACGCTGGGACCGTAATAATAGACTCTGACTCAAAAGGTTTTTGCTCCCGTATATAGTAACAGTTTATGCACAAACACAACTATATAGCTGTAGTTAAACATATGTCTGTGGTATAAACTCTGCATAAATTTGAGGCTCGAGCTTATTCCTTTCCACTGTTTGATATCAGGCAAGTGTCGCTACTAGAAATTGTTTTTTATCCATAGCTAATTACTAATACGTGTGTATTTGATGTGTCTTGACCTGAAGCCTGCTGTAAAGACCAATAATGCCACATGCACTGTCAAAAAGCGAGCCGGTTATACAGATGCCCAATCAGCATCATTCCAGAGGGTATATATACCTCTGCAACCTATAGGACCCCCCCGTACCGTATTATGTGTATGTACTTCTGGAGGAAAGTGCATTGCCTTCTTGTTGCACATGGTAACCCTTGCTGTATGATTGCTTGTGTCAAGGATTAACGCTCATCTTCTGCGGTGAGGTTTGTTAAAATCTCAGGTCTTATATAATAATGCAACTGGGTAGGAACTGTGTTACGTTGACGGTTGATGCTCTGTGTGTGCAGGTTTGACCATGATCAGGTACCTGCCTCGTCACACATTTGGCTACATGCAGAGCAAGCTGTTTCCAAAGTACTTCATGTTGGGTGTGGCTTTGTCCGGCATCTCCCTGGCAACTTTCCTCATCGATAACCCAATCAGCAGCAGTTGGAGCTTTGAGCAAAAACTGCAGGTTGTTATCTCTTTGTAAACCCTACAAGTTTTGGGCCACACACATTTTGTAGTAACATGCTATGGCTACCTGATTGTTTACCTAAGACGATTATAATCCTTGACCTTTTAACCTATATCATTCTGTAATTTCTATCTCTTGGTTGTGTTATCATGTGTCGCTAGTGGTCAGTCTGGGAAGGCCCACTTTTCCAAAGACAGTACTCTAGTAATGGCAACATATCTGCCTTGTTGCCCCTTTGTGGTAGATCTGCCATAAGGCATAATGTATACCACAGGCACAGGAAGTGAAGTATACCTTGCCTTTGAAAATACTGTCCCTTTTAGTTTGTCTCCTGGAGCGGGAAGAAGGGCAGCCTTAATTAACCCTCGGTGTGCATGCACTGCGAGGGTTACTGTAGTTGTCGTGTGTGTCTGTCATCTCACTTCACGAGCCATCAATCCCTCCACAAACAATACCAAGTATTCAGCGTCAGATATATAAAGGTGGAAAAATATGTAGGGTTTTCTCTGAAACTGCTGCGTTTGAGAGTTATGGTGTGAAACACGAGCGAAAAAGCCAATATCTATATAATTAGAATAGGCTTACCTCGAGCGGGTCCGCTTGCTCTGTGTATCTTGAAGGCACAGGAAGTCACAACGAAGGGCGTGTATCAACTCCCGCATGCTATCTACTACTGTAGCTGGCCCGTGTCAGACGAGCTACTACCGGGAGACCACAAATAAATGCATCCTAATAGCCCAGCCCATCAATTAGCGGTACCGCGCATGCTGAGCGTTTGAACTTCAGTGCTTTTTCATTATACACATTAATCCTCTATCATGCAGGCTGCTTCTCACCTCATCAGCTTTCTTCTGGTGTCCGGCAACGCTTTCTACCTGTCTCCCCAGACCACAAATGTAATGTTTGAGAAACACAAGTTGGAGAAGGAGGAGCATGCGGGGCAGGCAATTGGTGCGGTGGAGGAGGACAAGGCGGCCAAACTGAGGCAAAACAAACGCTACGTCGAGCTGGAGAGAAGTTTTTCGAGGCTACATGGCTACTCGGTCCTCTTTGCTCTGTCTTCGCTGCTCTCTCACACTGTTAACATCTGGTTCCTGGCAGCTCATCTGCGCCACACCTGAATTGTTCCATAAATCTAGCTAAAACTGACTTGTAATAATTATTTTGTTTGTGTGTCTCAACTGTCAGCTGTGTAGTTATTTACATATTAAATATTCATTAGTGAAATCTGATCTAACTTCTAGCCATAATTAAATGGAATTCCAGACTAACAGCTCATGGGTTTAGGTATTATAGTCTCATGCCCAGCCACCCCAACCCTAAGCCTTCTCGTTGTGGGTGGGGCGGCTGGGCACAAGACTAGGGTTTAGAGGTATTATTAACCCTCGGCGCGCATGCGCAGCGAGGGTTACTGTAGTTGGGTTTGTCTGTGTGTGTGTGTCTGTTACTCTACATCTCACCTCTCGAATGTCTGTTCGTCTCAGAAACGATGCCATCTACCCAACGGGCGACGAAGGTCAGAAAATATGTGGGGTTTTCTCTGAAAATGCTCCGTTGCAGAGCTAGAGCGCTTCCAGCATTGTATGGCTAATGTCGGTAGTCGCCATTTTATCGCTGGCGGATAATGCGCATGCGCTTATATTTAGCAGAGGCTTACCTCGACCAGGTCCGCTTGCTCTGTCTATCTTGAAGGCGCAAGAAGTCACAACGAATGGCGTGTATCGACTCTCGCGTGCTATCTACTACTGTAGCTAGCCCGTGTCAGACTCTCTGCGAGCTACTTCGCCGAGGGTTTGCACTTTAGTGCTTTTCATTATGGCTGTGCCAGAGGTCTGAAAAATATCATCATAGTCTTCCTGAAAGTCTTTGGTTGAACTCTGCTGGGAACGAATTTGGGACGAGGGGGCTTGTATAATTATAATAAACCAGTTTTCCAAGCAATTATATATAGTGGCAGACTGATGTTATAGAATTGTACAGGAAAAACGTTACAACAGAAGAGTGCACTTGTAAAAATCTGAGGAAATTGAGTTTTCCGCGACCCACACTAACATGCACACTGAGGGTTATTGATTCTTCCGCCATCAATTGCCTTTCTCCAAGCTTGCTTATGTTGTTTCTGTGACAGGCAACATTACTCACTGTGTGATGACTACACTTTTAACAATGTCCTCATGGCGCATGGCGCGTGCGTGGGTGTGTCAATGCGCATATGTGGGAATGGCTTGTGACGTCAGAGCACACGCAGCGCGCGTGATGATGTACGTAGAGCTAGGTGCTCCAGCGCAGCTCTGCTACTTAGGAATTCGCTGCTACTGCTTTTAGGGCTACTCTTTCAGGACTATAAAAACCCGCATCTGGTTTGAACCGCACATTCGACTCACTGACACTTCTCTCTCCTGAACTAGCTACTCTTACAGCAAGTCTCGTTCTTTCTGCTGCTGCCGAACCAACCCAGTCCGCCATGTCCAAGCCAGTAGTGTTCGTCATCGGAGCCACAGGCAGCGTGGGATCTGCCACCGTAAAAACCCTCTCGGCCAAATACGCAGACAAAGTCGAGATCCGGACTGGAGTCCGCAACCCAAAAAAAGCTGGGGAGCTCAAGTCCCTGGCCGGCGTCACCGTCGTCAAGGCCGAGATGGGCAGCACCGAGCTGGAAACCACCCTCCGTGGGGTCAACACCCTCTTCATCGTTACTCCAGGAGTCGAGAACCGCGCGGAGCTAGCGATTGCCACGGCGACCTCCGCGAAGAAAGCTGGAGTAAAGTATCTGGTCGTCGTCTCCGTGCTCACTGCCGATAATTTGGATACGATCTTCGGGAGGCAATTGCACAAGCTGGAGACCGAGGTAAAGGCGCTGGGGGTTGCCTACACGATCCTCCGCCTCCCGTTCTTCGTTGACAATGCATGGGCCTTCAAGGACACAATCAAAGGCGCGGGTGCCATGTACAACCCCGTCGACCCGACCAAGCCATTGAGCCCTGTTGTTGTAGCAGATGTCGGAAACGCGGCAGCGGCGGTACTGGCGGACTCTGCAACTCACGCTAATAAGACCTACATCATCATCAGTGATCGCCACACCTACGGAGATATGGCTGCAGCCTTTGGAGAGGCACTGGGGAAGACAGTAACCTATAACAGAGTTACATACGATGATGCCAAGAAGGCATTTATGGGAATGGGCTTTCCCGAGTGGCAGGTCCATGGAATAATGGAGCTCTTCAAGCTAATGGACGCTGGGGACCCTGTCATCAGCACCACAGACGTCGGTGATTACCAGAAGATTACAGGAGAGACCCCGACCAGCCTCAAGACCTGGGTGGCCCAGGTGAAGGCTGGATTCGAGTAGTTGCAAACCTGACATTTTAGCAGCTTACATTTTTGTGCATTTTTTTGTCTTCATGAACATCTGTATTAGATACATAATTATATATTAAACCAAGGATGGGTGGAAGTCAGGAAGAGATACAATCTGCTGCATATGTAGTTAGCTATGTCTTTCCCGTGGTTAGCTATACATAAAGTTTCGTTTATTGTAACACAGCAAGTGCAGAAAGAGATCATAACATGGAGCACGAGCTCACTGATGATTTCAGTTAGAAACACCGTCCAAAATAATAATTATAGCTCGTGTGAAGATAGAAAGACAAAATTAGAAATCAACAATGTCACGGAGGGATTTTTCCATGAGAGAGGCCAGTTCAGGAAGACCACTGGACCTCATACATCCGGTCAGAGTCTTCCAGGTCACCGGCTGTCGTCCCTTACCACTGAGCCACCGTCTCAATATCTCCAGCGTGATCTTATCTGCTTTCTGTTGGCACTCAAATATGATTGTCGGTACGACAACCCCGTCAGTGTCTCCCAGTAACAAAGTCCCCAACTTTTCGTACTTCATCCCGACTTTTGTGGTGACGTCGATATTCCCAGAAGCTGTCGGGAATTCCACTAGCTCAGAGAGTGCCGGTTTGGCATCTGCAGTTAGATAGAAACTCGCATGTAAAGAGTGAGTGCGTCAAGGAGCATTTTTATTTACCTTCTTCAAAAGGAGGCTTGAAGTTGTGAGCTGCCTTTGCAGCTATAAAAAAATAATGAGAGTAAATTTATTATGCTGTGATAATGGCACATACAACAGTCACTCGATGAAGTAGAAAAAATTAATCTACTATATTATAATTATTCTAAGTAACAAAGTGAATTTTAGTGTGTATAATTATGTGCATCTGTTGACTATTATTTAAGAGAACTCCAGGAGAGATTTATGTGTTGAACATTCACCTTACACACTGTCCTTAAAGCTGGTCAAAGTACACTTGTCGAAAATGTGTTGGCTATCAGGCGTGAGCAAGGGATGGAGAGTGTTATATTAAGTAAAGAAATCATACATGGCAAATAGATAGTTAGACCATATATATATGCATCTTTTTTTTTTTTTTGGTTGGGTGGGTGTTTTTGTTTTTGGGTGTGTGGTTGTTTTTGGGTTGGTAGATCGTTGAGCTCTTACGGTGTCATGCAAGCATTTGTGTATGCATAGTGGGCTGCGGGGAGGGGTTTCCATGGTGCGGCGCGCTGATCCACGACCTTGGATGCCTCAGAGAAACTTCTATCCTCGCCTTCTGTAAGTCTGTCACTTTAAGTGCTATTGGTTTTGATTTCACGGGAGCACTGGCTGTGCGCTGTTACGCGGCTTGCAGCGCCTCTTCTTTGCCCCCGTTATAGCTATCTTGTAGTCTGATACTGAGCCTGCCTTGAACCACCCCACCATATGTGCCACAATCTAATTGCATCCTTGTTATTTTTACTTCTGTTAAAGAGCAAGGAATGACAAGTGTACACATATTATTAGTAGGCTGGGTAAGAAGAGAAGCATACTCCATGCACAGAAATACAGTACTAATCAGTACCAGTATACAGCTGTATTTGTCAAATGAACAATGAAAGACAACATTGAGTTGGTATGTTCTTACATTATACATACCAGTCATAATCTCTATAGCTCGCTCTACAGCCTCTGTCTCATGAGCTCTAGTCAGAGCAAGGAACAGGTCACTCCAACTGGGATCAGGGTGATAGAGGGCGTAATACTTTCGCAGCCTCAGCCAGAACTTTATCGCGACTGCTGAGTTTCTCAAGAAAACTGCAAGCTCTTGGATACGGCACTGCTGTGTGGGGGGGGAGGTTTGTTAAACAAGTCCTCGGCGTTGATTGTGCGGTCTATTTCACTGGGTTTCACCCCAATCTCCCACCAATCTCCAGATATGGCAGTGAAGACTGGTATGAGGATGTGTGGATTGAGGGATGGATCTGAGGAGAGGACCGCCACTTAGCAGTGAACACCAATTTAAAGGGAACGTGTCAATACATAAGGGCTAAATTTAGAAATGTTATTAAAGATAGAACTAAACAATAGGGCCCAGTGCAAGGATGCAATTAGGTTTCCATTTTCAGTAACAGTTTTTAAATTTAGCCCTAATATTATTATACTGCAACATTCCCTTGAACATCCATTCTATGTGAAACTTTCACTTTTACACACTAGTTAGAATTACATAGGTGTACCTATGTAATTAGCACGGGAGATACGTAGTATAATTATTCTACTACGTATCTCCCATGCTAATTAAAGCACACTGTGTCTATACAAACCGCTACATGACACAGAAACATTCCTCGATATGGACAGAATTTCTAAAGCATTATTTTGTAGACTTGCCGTGGTGTTGCATGATACCCTCGCTGGTCTACGACATGTATTTGTAATAGTAGGCGTTAAAGTCAACACGAGATGCAAAATGCGTACTGAAAAGCAATACAGGTCTAAAGCCGCACGAAAACAAGCTGTGGTTCCACTGGTTCTCTGAGTTGCTGGAGAAAAGTTTTAGCCACGGCCTATATATAGGCGTGCAAAAGATGGTGAATGAGAAAGCTCATTGCTCATTCTTTGTTAACATGTGATTTTCTCCTACCCCTGCATTGATAGAGGGCTTAGAACTCAGGGATTTTTTGTTTGTGCATAATAATTATTATAGAATCTTACCTGCTGGGGGTTCAGCATATTCCATGATTGTGTCTGCCAGAGCTGTTTCTCCCATCATGTCCAACTGAAATATCAGGTTTCTGACTTTCCTTGAATCTCTACTCTGGAGGTAGTACTCCACTACATCTTCAGTTCCGGAATTCCACTTAAGAAAAGGGATGTTGAGAAGCATGTAGAGGTGGCGGCGGTTATTGGTTCCATCAAAGACATTTCTGAGTGCTGCCTTACTCAGAGGAGGGGCTGTAAAGAGACAGAGTTCCTAAAACAACCACAATAACTCTTCATACCCCTCAAACATACCCCTCCAACATCCCCTACCAATTTTGCACCTATAGCAAAGGGAAGCTAGCAGATTCATGAGTGTGGACAAGAACGAGAAACAATGCAAAGAAAAGTCAGGCCTTGAGATCTGGCATCTAGTGTCCCAACAGTACATACCATAGAAAGGAGAGAGGGTCAGGTCTACTGCCCACGTTCTAGACACCCCAGAAAAGCTGGGGGTAGAAGTGGAGGGGCCATGATATCGAGACTACAACCAGAACGACATATTACAACTATGGAAAGCTGGTCTCCATACTATTTTCCGTTAGCTAGCAATGGCCTGACTAGAGTTTAGCTATGTAAGTCAACTCGGTGGAGATTTATTCTACAGGAGACTCATAATAGGTGAGCTCCTTCGCAACTCGTCTTACGTTTCTTCCACGTCCAGACCTGGTCCTTGCCTCAGTAGCCATTCTTTAGTCAAGTCGGCGTCTCCAATACGCACTGACAATGCTGCATGGATATGGGCAAGCAGGCTTTGCCGTCGAATCTACCGGAAACCTATTCGACCGCAAAAAAATCCTGGGAGATCGAACCCGTGTAAAGCAACCCGTTTCCGTTTACTACTCGTAACTTCCTACAGAGCGTGGCGGAGCGGTGGCGCACGCAAAGTTTCAAGGTCCTGTGTTGTCATGAACGTGGAATAGACCTCCCTGCAACATATGCATGGCACAAGAGATGGGAGGAGGGGATAACACCGTGGCAGAAGAGATCCAGTTCTTGAGGTAGGGGTGCTCTCTGCATTGCGTGTTCAACTACGCGCACGCGCAACTATAGCACCAAGTAGATTGATCACCTCTCAAGGCCAGCCCGAGTGGCTAAATGGTTAGAGTCGTGGGGACTGACACATCGAATCCTCGATCCCGCACTAAAGTGTCGGGTGGTCCAGAGCATTGGCTGGGAACAGCTCTGGTTCCTCCCCTTACCCACAAATCTAGCCAGTGGTAGTGCACTGCATCCGTAGACGTCTGTCTTGAAAGATGAAGGGCTGGCTGATTCTTTTATTCAACAATAGATTTTTTATTTTGCCTTAACAATCCAACGATAATACGAAATACACAGATTAAAGGTTGCCTATTTTCAACCTCAGATATTTTTGGGCCTCAAACAATCCAAGGGCTGGCCATTTTGATCAACCTATTGAAAATAATCCATGGAAATAGTGCATAACATGCTGTTCTTTTTGATGCAAGGTCAGGACCATCAAGTGTGCCACACTTGTGTATATGTGAGTTCCACATTTCTAGTGTGCCAAGGGTTTGCACTTTAGTGCTTTTCATTTTTCAGTTTGTAGCAACACCAACATCACTCTTTATGTACTTTAATACCTTCCCTTAAGCAACAGGAAAGCAGCTCCATCATTCACCATGGACAATCTAATCTCATTCAGCATCACACCGTCCTCTCTGGTGCAGGCGAAGTGCGCATGCGCAAATAAAACGATGCCGTAGGCGGAAGGACAGTCGCATGAGTAAAAATCTGTTGTGAGGTCTGCCTCTTCGCAGCATTGGCGGACGCTCTTCACAAGCGGCAGAGAGTCGAGGTCAGTCGCGCACTCGGCAAGCATGTGGTCGTTGATCTAGAAATTACGTCCAGGTTGGTTAGCTAGCTGCCTTTGTATGCGCTAGTAAGCCAGCTAGCTCGTTGCCTTAGCTGTTATAGTCTCACCGGCCAGACATTTTACGCAAAGACAGTCCGGCAGGAAGACACTTGTGGCCCCCCGACAAGCTGCATGCCAGTGTACTAGTAGCTTTGTCACGAGCAGGGACGAAAACCAGGCCATTTTCTAAAGTGCGTGGGTGAGGCGACTGTGCTAATGAAAACGCTTCGAATTCCTCTTGAAATCCAGCCGGTTGTGTAGTTTATACAACACTCAGGTGTGCATATAGCACAGCTTTATACACAGACGCTGTTTCCTTTAGGAGGAAGGGGAGGATGGAGATATCAGAGGGAACCAGTTTGGTGGGGTCAATACAGGGCCCAGGAGGACAGAGGGGGCAGTTGTCTAGATTTGGAGTGAGTATAATTATAACACTTTGTTATTGATCTCGAGTAAAATGGGCCAAATGCACTGTCATAATAATAATACATAGCCTTTCCAAAATTTTTGCAAATTGAGAAGGATCCATACCTACAAGTGACTTTTTATAAATTAAGAAGGATCCTATGAGTCACTGACCCACAAGGCTTCCTCGAGAATTTCCTGCCAGCCACACACCACTACCGCGATACTTGAACAAAGCATAGTATCGCAGACTGTAATGTGAAACCCCAACAGAGAGCCTATTACTTGGTAAGACAAGAGTTCTTTGGTAGAGCTATCACTCGATACGCCCCAAGTCTACCTTTGTAGACGGTTCATTACATAATATGACATAATTGATGCGGCATGAAGAATGGTTTTATTCACATCTCTCTGCAGAAATGTATGATACTGCTGCTCATCATTGCCGTCGTTGTTCTCCTCGTGGCTATAGTTGGTGAGTTCCCAATGATCCAACCTATATGCATTTCCTGAATGCCTTCCTTCACAAACTACACTGAAACCTCTGAAAAGGACCCTCTAAATAAAGGACACCTCTCTGTAAACGACACTTGGTTCTCTCCCATTCTAACCCTTTGGACGCCATGGGTATCTGCTTAAACAAGCAGAAATTGATGTATTAACACCTAGTATTACAGCCATATATAAATTCTTATGGACTTATGGAGGCTCTGGGGCATATATATGCCCGGGCCCGTGGCTTGCTAAGGGCTAATAATAGAACGAATGCTGATTGCGAGCACACACAATGAGTTCCAGGCAAATACAGGAAAGATTACACAGTTTAGCTACGTGTATGTGTGTATTTAGAATCAGGACATTGCAGTAACTGTGGCAACAATGTTTGATACATACATAATTGCATGTTATTATAGAAGTGTGCACAAAATAGCCCTTCGTTTGCCAATTAACAAATATCGACAATTTCAACCACAATGTCCCCGAGGTGCCACTTGTTCGGATGTTTCATTGCTTTTCCCGTACTAACCTCCTGTACTGAATAAGGAGCCGCTTAGGTAGGTGGAGAGAGAAGGTAATAGAGCCAGCAAACAAGCTCTATGGAAGGTTCACTCCCTGCTTGCTTGCACCGTCTAAATAGACCACCTCATACTCTACTCATTGCAACATATAATTATAGTACTAGAAGCCGCAACGTTACACATACACACACACATTGTGCATGCATCACGTTATCTGTACTCCACTGCGCAATAGCTATCCGTGTTTTTCATGTGCTCTACAGCGATACTGATCCTGTGTGTGGGGAAAAACGGGTGCAACTATCCGTGACCACACGGCACAAATCATTCATATTCCGTTTTAATATTTTTGAGCAAACATCTCCACTCTCCGAGGCGTACAACTAATTTTACCGTCTCCATTATGCAAAACATTACGACAATGCACACACATTCACTATGATGTGTACATTCACTATGATGTGTACCTTGAATCATGTCAACTAAACCACCATTTTTAACTTGTAATTTTTTTATTGCATCATGACCTTGTTTGCTAAATAAGTACATCAGTAAGGACAACAATGAACTACTTTAGTATAATGATGAGTAATGTCAACGTGTCTACATGTTCTAAACACCTTGTTGTGATTGTGTATGTCAACTGTGGTGACCTCGAGAGCGAAGGTTGTACTCTGCCCTGTGAGAGGTGTTCAGTAAGCTGCTTGAAACTGCTGATCTACCACCGGTTCTCTTTCCCCTGTGTGTGTTGACAGTGGGTGAGGAGTGACGGGTGGGGAGTGTGCCGTGTGAAGTGTGAGGATGGGGACGATGTGATGGTGTCGTGAGGTGTGATTGTAGGTCGACTGTGGGTTGAGGAGGGAGACTGGGTGGCCTGGTCGAATTCCAGCCTGCCAGACAGTGCTGTTTGTAGCAAAAATAATAATTGTAGGGGTATTAGAGGGAGTGAGAGATACAGTGCAAAGAAAGTTTGTTCTTGTAGTTGACTTGGTATAATTTTACAATAACTACATAACTGAGTGACACACTAATTAATTTGGTCACATTGGAGTATATTATGCAGGAAGTTAATGAGTATATACTCGAAGTTAATACAGCTAACATCACATTCAAAACCACACACACACTATGGCACTTGAGAATGAATCCATAATTATTATACATATGTAGATACACCACACACACACAAACATCCCGTGCAAGCCTCTGTAACCACTGATCTCTAAGTATGATGTACACATACATACTGGCCTGCATAAACTGTTCCCTGCCTATTGTACACTCTGACTCTTAGGCACTGTGTGCAATGGAACCTCTGATATGGGACCCTCCGAGATAGGGATGACCTCTCTACATCTTCAAAGGACACTTGTTTCAACTCCATGTTAGTGTATTAATTGCCCTCCAAGATAGGGACGACCTCTCTAATTGTTGGGCTCCATAGCGTCCCTTGTTCGGAGGTTCCACTGTACGTATGTAGTACATGGTTACCTTGTTGAGGGCCATGGAGTCACTTGGGTCAAAGCTTCTCCTTCTGTGAGGTCTCAGGTTATACGGAGCCACCACAGTCCTCCGAGGAACACTCACTCTAGAGCAGATGGGAGAGGGGGGGGGGAGAAAAAGAAGGGAGAGAAATTGGACACGGTATATGGCAAAACTAGCGAGATTCTAAGCCATTCCAGCACACAGAGGAACAGCTGAAACAGGAAAAACGTGTACAGCAGCAGGCCTAACTCCCTTTTCTGACTTATGGAGTCTATATAATCGAGTGTCCAGATGTAGAACTACTAGAGGAATGTAACGCATTGTTTGGCGAGAGAGCACGAGCAGTTGAATATTTAGCGCTTTTTTTGCGTCTAGTATTTAGAAGCATGTAGCATTACAGTATGAGTGTCGTATCGCCAGATCACCGGATAGGAAAATCGGCCGTTCAGACAACAGGTAGGTACTAGGTAGGCTCGCTTCACTCACAAATAATGCAGCACGTGTTTACTGCAGGTCCAGTATTAACATGTAACCTTGTTTTTGACGCAAATAACTCTGGAGTCAATTAAGAGGATAATTTAGAGGCTCAAAAGAAAACCCCTTAGAGCATCCTGTAATTCACCTGATATAGTGTGTGGACGTTGCGTCATCTTTCCCCTTCTCCCTCTTCCCCTCGCACACCGGGCACCTCCTCCCACCCTCCCCACTCTCGCACTGGGCTGTCATCGGGAACAGCCGGTCGTTGAGGACGTAGCTGCGGGTGCAGTGGGTGTGGCCAGTTGCCGAGTGTGAGGATGTGAAGTTGTGAGAAGTGGAGAGGGAGTGATCATCTTCTGAGTTTGCATCTGTGTCTGGAAGGCTGTGTGTGACAAACATAAGGAATCAACGTAACGTAAAAATTCCCAATGTTTCGACTTTCAAATGTGCTGCACATGTACAACATACACTGCAGTACACATTATAGTGCCTATGTTTGTAGTATGTAGAATGGCCAGCGGGCACAATAATTATGATCAAATTCAAAATCTCGCCACCTGGTATATAGGCTTAAGTAAGGGTATATATGAGGGAAGAAAGGTGAAAAATTGCAGCTCAACTATATATGTACTCGAACCAACACATCCTCCACCAGAACAGTAATGTGTGGCGATATTTAGCCATACTCACAAGAGGGGGTGGGGTCGGCTGCACTCGGACTGGTTGACCTTTCTGAACTCTCTCATCTCCTGGAACCACTCCTCGTCCCTGTCGTCCAGGAGAGAGCCGGCGTCCACCAGCCCTGCGATCCAGTCGTAGCCCAGTCTCTCCTCCTCTCTCACCCTCCACGGCTTCTCCCTAGCCGGGCTCCGCGTCACTCTAGGGGTCTTGTTAGGTGGGCGGAGTTTCGAACTCCCTGGATAGCAATGACAGGAGGAACAAGACCAGGGGTTCATTAATTATAGAAGAATGGGATGGCCCCCTAAATAACCCCCCCCTGACTGAGTTTGGGGTGAACCGCCAGCCACAGGGCTTGCCCCTTTTTCAAAATCGAAAACTGTCCATATGCTAGCACAACACGCCATTGTACACCTGCTACATACCAAAGGAAGTATGCAAAAACAGGCCTATGCCTACAAATATCGTCGTTTCATCTTCTATTTGACCAAAAGTTCCAAATGGAACGGGAAATAAATACTCATCTTGCACCACCTGGATCGATGTCTAAAAGCAGGGCAAAGGTATGTACTGTACAGCTGGTCATGTGTATATACATATGTCACGTACAGGAGTAAATTTATCAAACTTACTGCTGTGTTCAAGAGCTCCAAACCGTGAGAGATTGAGAGAGCTGATGAGTCGCTCTCCCCTCTCCTTCTCCTCGGAAAAACTCGTTTCCCCACTCTGTCTCTTGCTCCCCAACCCCACACCTCCACCAATCCCCTTCCCTCTCCCCTCCGTCTTGGAGCAGGGGGAGTTCTCATCAGTGATAAAACTGACAGTCAGCCCTCGAGGCTTCTTCTTCTTCTTCCCGGTGCCACTTTCGTAGCGACTTCGCACCGAGGTGGACTGACTAACAACACCACTGGCAGAGTTTTGCGTCACTGACACTTCCGGAACTGTCTCCCCCGTTATATCAGGCCCTTGTTTAGTAATTTCTTTTTGTTTAGTAAGTGATCCAGCAATTATACCAGTCACAGAGGTTTTTGAATTGCCTTTACTTTTAGCACTCGACCCTTTCTTTGTTCCGCTAGTCTTTGTGCTTCTTTTGCTGCGTGACTTGGAATGCGAAGAATGTGAGAGAAGAGCGTTTTCGAGGGAGATGTCAGTGGAGGAGAGGTGAGGGTGTGAAGAGGGGAGGTGGTGGAGTGAGGGAGGAGGAGTGGTGGAGGGGGAGGGGAGGAGTGTTTGGGTGTGGAAGAAAGCCGTTTTCGATACTTCCTCCGGGGAGCATGGAATGGCTGCAACAAACGGAACACAATTGTACTATAATAACAGTAAGGTAAATGGGGGTAACTCGGACATGGGGTGCTGCACTGGCCTCGAAATTATGTTAGCACTTTGGCAGGTAGTAATCAAGTGACTGAATCTTTCTCTTGTTTCTGAATAGCGAGTTATGTCTGTGTATTACCCCGTGTCCGAAGTTACCCCCATTTACCTTACCTCATACTGTTTCACAGTCTAGGACTCTTGGCTAACCATGCACAACAGCATTGTGATTTTTATCCACCAAAATGTTAGCAGTGAAACAGTGGGAAGTTTTTCTTAGACTAACTGGAGCATTAGACTGACTGGTACATCAGACTGACAAACACAATGGGTCATAAGCCTTAGCTACAACTCCCATGACTCATACTTACAGGTGTGGATGGGCTGAGTTGTTCAGTTCTGGCTCTCCTGACAGGGAGATGCTTCACACAGCACAGGGAATCACCACCGCCTTGGCTGCAGCGCACGTGACTCACTCTCAGCGGACGACTGGACTTCTCCTCTACCGGCTGCATGGAACAAGAGAGAAGCTCTCTGCTAGCTGCCATACAATATTCCCCCACACTTATACAGTTTAGGAACATACATCTCTCTTCGGCCGTAGGTGCTGGAGGTTTCTGTGTAAGCCCACCTGTCCTTGCCTCAGTTTGTCAAGGAGGACCTGGCAAGCTTCCTCGGAGTGTCCCGCCATCCCCGTTTGAATTGTGGGAGGGCAAAACAATTCTAATTGATGCACAACAAGAGCTAGAGCAATTCTAATTGATGCACAGCAAGTGCTCTAGTAAACGCGCATCACTTCCACGAGTAAAAATGGCGGCTCTGGGAGCGGTTCTGCAGGGTCTGGACGGGATGCCTTTGGCTCTGGCCAAGCCAGCGAGGCCGCTACCCGAGTGCGGCGTACAGATTGGGACGGGTGCAGTTATGACCGGGGTATGTGTGGGTCCCAGCTGTTAGGGGATAACTGTTACAGTATCGTTTTTGCTCCCTCAGACCTCAATAATGGCAGTTGAATTCAATGGAGGCGTCATTATAGGGGCTGACTCCAGGACCAGCTCAGGGTAAAAAGCAGTGTGTGCCACTCATTCTGCTGTATCAAAGATGTAGCATTGAGTTTTGACTTTCACAACTTGTACGAAACCAAGGTGGTGAGGTTGTCCCCCTTCTGACTTTCTCTGTCAACTCTTTTGTGACCTTGTGTCTATTCTCCAGAACATACGTAGCCAACCGAGTGTCTGACAAGCTGACAGAGATATCTCCGCACGTCTTCTGCTGTCGTAGTGGCTCCTCGGCAGACACTCAGGCCATTGCTGATCTCGTCAAATACCAGCTGAACTTGCACAGGTATATACGTAGACCTACACCACAGAAGACTATTATGCCACTTAACCCTTTGGACGCCGTAGAGATTTGCTTAAATAAGCATAAAGTTATGTATAGTGTATTAATGCCTAGTATCATAACACCTGTATACAAATTCTTATGGACTTATAGAGGCTCTGGACACATTTATGTGTCCGTGGCTGGTTAAGTGTTAATAGTCTACAATAGAGTAGTGACAAATTTTGATACCTTCATGCTGTAAAAAGTCTGTCTATGGGACCTGAATTCAGTTGTGCATAATCATGGAATGCCCACCTAGTCATCTGAATTGTGCAATTGTGTTTGTAGACGGCGCTATGCATGCTTCAAATTTTAGACTCGTGTTATAACGCATTTCTATAGTTGTTCAATAATGATATTGTCTGGCTAGTCTGGAGCTGGGTGAGGAGGCGAAGGTCGGGATTGTGGCACAGATGTTCCGCAAGTGGTGCTACGACTACCGTGACCAGCTGACGGCAGGCATCATCTGCGCCGGCTGGGACAGACACGAGGGAGGTCAGGTCTTCTCCATACCTCTCGGTGGCATGTGCATCAGACAACCCTTTGCCATTGGAGGTGTGTGGTTACCCATACCGTGCAGTGTACAAGATCTACTACTTGTGTGTTCTGGTCAAAACATCACTCTTGACATAAAAACTTACTCATGATTCATGATGTAAAAACATACTCAAACTTTTCAAAGTTACTCATGACATAAAAACATACCCAAACTTTGCATACTTACATGGTATAGGTGAGATGGCAAATTCGAGTGTCTTCGTGGTTCTGGGAGGCTGGAATGACACAATAGTAACCGAGGCGGAGCCGAGGTTTCTATTGCGTCATTCAGCCGACCACGCGGGCTGCAGAACCATGGAATCTGCCGTCTTAGTTGTTAAGAAAATGGATAGCCGTACGGTTAGCTGTAGCTCGTCCGCCTTCAACCTTGGTTGGTAGCAACTCTTTGAAGAAAGCACCGGGGAGGAGAGTTCTCCCAAGCCAATACCGCGGGGCGCAACCACGATTGCGTCGATGCTGGTAAGAACTGACTATTAGCGGCGGCGGCTCAACTTTTCGACGGTAGCCCGGCAGGGGAGAGGTCTCCCGATTCCACACTGGGCACTGTCGAAGACTTCGTCGACGATGATCGAGAATCACTGTTTTTAGCAGCATCGCAACTGTTCGAGTCAGGGCGATGTCTGAGCAGTCTCAGCTCGTGATCGTCGCTTCTGGACACCCCGGTCTGCGCGTACTGTAATAAACGAGAGGGTCTCAGTTAGAACTAAGCCACCTAACCGCAGGTATCTTATCGCTAAGAGACCTGCGTGTAGGTGTCTTACCACGAAATGAGCTATTTTCAAAGCATTCTTGACATACCATTTTCTTACTCATGAACTTTGCAAACTTATTCATGACATAAAAACATACTCGAACTTTGAAAACTTACTGCAATGGGAAACAGTATCATAAAAACATACTCAAAGTTAGCTACTCGTGACATAAAAACATACTCAAAGTTAGCTACTCATGATATAAAAACATACTCAAAGTTAACTACTCATGGCATAAAAACATACTACTCATGACATTCATGACATAAAAACATACTCAAAGTTAGCCATAAAAACATACTCAAAGTTAGCTACTCATGACATTCATGACATAAAAACATACTCAAACTTTGCAAAGTTACTCATGCCATGTAGTGTGTATATGTAAGAGATAATGTGCGTTTAGAGTTCTATACGTGATTTATGGGAACGAAGGGGTGTGGTCGACAACCCTAGTCCCCATAAGTCATGTATAGAACGATAGGACGCACATTATGTGTTTTATTGTGACTCTGTAGCAGTCGTCGACCTCTAGCGAGAGAAATACGACTGCGTAGCCTACTACCCATGCACGTGCGCACTCGCTGGCTTTCTCGAGTGAGTTCTCTGTTCTCGAGGCCACGGTAATCGAACAAGGTCGTGATGGTGGCTCTTTCTCCCTTTGAGAAACTCGTTTCATAGGTCGCTGGGCCATTTGACCGGTCGGTGTGCCGCGGCCGCAGTCTCGCTTGCCACTGGTAGCTGAATGAAGGGGTGTGGTCGCCTCAGCCATCCCTCGCCTCTAAAGCCTCTACAGAACAGTTTTTGTCTACACTATGGGTACGATGCTGCTGCTAGTTCAATAATTCTTTTTTTTAACGTTCAATATTAATCTTATTATTGCTACAATACGGGAAATAAGAGTATGTGTGGCTCCTTTGATCCGCCCACGCAAGTCACAATAAAGTGTTGATAGTGTCCATGTATACAATACTCACAGGCTCTGGAAGTACCTACATCTATGGCTACTGCGACTCTCAATTCAAAAAGAACATGACCAAAGATGAATGCATCACCTTTGTCAAGAACTGTAAGACTGTAAATGGATGTGTGTCTGTGTGCGTGCGTGCTGCACACTCATGTATATATGTTGTCTCCCTGTAATGAGAAGCGGGTAGGGGGCGAGCTCATCTATGTATGTAGTGGTCCCAAACTGTGCGATTTGGGTATATACGTCATCGAACTGTCCGTGTGTTTGAATTACTCGCTTGTTTTATGCGTTAACGTGTTTTATAGCTCTCGCACCAAAAACAGTTTGTATTTGCCTATAGCTAGTATGCCAAACAGTCAGATATTCCTCTGCAAGGTTTCATAGCAATTCCACAAAGTTTTTAACTGTGAAATTTGAACAAATATCTGACATGGGCTGCCCACAGCACGTGTATTTTCTACCTCATGTGCGAAATTTTGAATGAATGGGCTACTGTGGTATGTGCTGCCACACCTGTTTCACGTTGCATTTTGCTTGGAGAAAACAGTTCGAGGATTCAAGACAGACTTACATTCAGTACCTGGTACAGCTTGTCTCCCATGGTGATGTAAGGAAATAACCACACGTGCTTGCAGGCACAGAAATGCCGCGAGTTGTAAGGTATTATATGGACCAATCAGAATCAACTCTTTGGCTAAAAGCTAAAGCTGATTGCTTCCGCGTGGACAGCCTGCATCAGAGTGCCTTTAACCATGAAAGCTACATTCCAACCATCTATAAATGCTTAAACCAAACCGAGATGTGTTGTGTTTATACCGACCATTATCAACTGTCTCTCTATGTCAGGCCTGGCACTGGCAATAGCCCGAGATGGTAGCTCAGGTGGTGTGATCAGGATGGCCATCATCACAGAGGACGGTGTCGAGAGGTCAGTCTTCACTGGAGCCGACATCCCCCGATTCTACTCTGATTGACTCCATGACTACAATATTTACATAGTTGCATCATGTTAACCGGTGTCATTTAGTATGAAAATGAAAAATGAAAAGCAACCAAGTGCAAACCCTCGGCGAGCTGAACGTCATGCGCGATACCGCTAATTGATGGGAATGATTTCCTTTGTCATCATGCAGTACTGTTGAGAGTTGTATACTACTGTATCTGTATGGCTCCGAAAATTGGGTGCTGAACCGTTCTTTACAGGAAGCACTTGAATCCTTCCAGGCAGAACTTGGGCAACGTGTATTTAAATTGTTATCTAACACTGTACCACTGCTTGTAATAAACTGGCCATCCCTGTGTGCCAGAGCTCTCTGCAACAGGCTATCTTCTGTATTGCGTGTGTCAACGGAGACTCGTCTTCACTCAGCACTTTTCGCTTGTTTTCACAGCATAATTATATCTCGAATGCAGTCGTTTCAGGAAAATCGCCCTTTTAGTTTTCAGGCTCGCGTAGTTCTGAAGCCGCTGGTATCACTAATAGGCCGCCGCGTAGCCAGAATAAGCGTTGACACACACACACACACACCATTTTTACACTTGTGAGAGTTAAAATACATCACTCGGGACCCTACAATAACAAACCCACTTCCCCTTAGGAAATTCCATGGACATCACAACTCCCTATAAATACCCCACTGTGCATTAGTGGATTGCAAGTCCCCCAGAGAGTAGTATGTGATTGTAACTACTTCTGTAGATTTTACATAAGAGTCTGTGACATTGGATGTGTGGGGAGAGTTGGCTAGCCACAAAAGATCTTTAACCCACCGTCCCCAGTTCTCAAGGCTGGGCATCCATGTCTTACTCTTGTGCTTGTATACGTAGGTAGAACATACACACACATACTCAATGTTCCCTATTACTTCCATAACTTAGGTGCCCTTATGATAAGTCAGTAGAGCGCGCGCACGAGCGGCCTCAGTCATCCTGCGAATGACGGAAGTTGACATTCCTAAGCGTGACTGTATTGACATTCTTAATTTTTAAACTTGACTAATTTACATTCTTAAGCGTGACCGACACGTACGGCCGCTGTTTCCGCTGCCCTTGCCCGTTCCCTATCACGCAGTCGGCGTCGAGAAAGACGAGCCTCAGAAGTCAGACCGATCCATCGCAGAAAGTGTGGTTGGCTTACACGAGAAATATACGGTGTAGAAATTGTTTTCGGATAAAAAGAAGCGCGTGGACGACGTACGCGCGGTCTAGAAAAATCACGCCGTTCGTACCACTAGGTTAGCTCGCTCCCGCTCGCCAATCAACTCCGTGTCGAGTTGTGGTATGTCCGCCAGTTCTGTCAATGTCATAAAGAGTATAGAGATGATGCTTGACACACTCAGATTACTACTTCATGTGTGTGTACAAGATTCCTACTACTTACACGTCCAGTCAGGTGTTGTTAAACATGAGAGTTGCCTAGCTATGTCCTTTCAACAAAAATTCTGTTTCATTCAGAAGTTCACATAGACCCATTCGCCTAGTACCAGTGGCGGATCCAAGGGGTTTCCTTGGGTTCAAAATCCTAGATCCGCCACTTATGTGATTATCTTGCAGTCATCTACTGACTATGTTACATCTGTATAATTATAGACCCAACTTGCCTGGTTGTATACAATCTTAGCAGAGGCTCACTTGTTGTAAAGCATTTTGCCGAAAGAGTATATAAAGTAACTTATAGCTATAGTGGTCATAATGATAATGTTTCCAAATCCTAATTCACATCTGCCTTTCTCACATGATGGTGGATTATAGCCATAGTAAACATCATTGCCACACAACCTCAATAGCATAACGTAAATCCTCGTGGTTCTACACTCAGGAGTTGTTCACTGTATAATTATACAGTCGACCATAGTAGTGTGGACACCAGAATAGACATTGGGACTGCATGAGATTTATGTACCCCATTATTATGGTGGTATGGTGGAAAGTTTGAGTATGTTTTACGTCAAGGGTGATGTTTTGGTCAGAACACAAGTATAGTATATCTTGTACGCTCACTCTTCTTTGTTACATAACTATAATAATAGCAGTCACACTGTGCTTGAGATCTGCGCATGAGCAATTGTTACATATGTAACTTTTGTTATAAAACAGCCAGTCCCTCATTAGTATAATATCGAGCTCAGTAGCTAGATGCGGCTACTTCAATCATTATGGGTTCTCAAGGAAAAGTTTGCGTTGCCCTTGTAGGTGATTCCGCATGCGGCAAGACAGCGTTGGCCGTCAAGTTCACTCAGAATCTCTTCATTGACTACTACTGTCCGACTGAGTCTGTGGAAGACTTCTCCAGTGAAATAGAAATTCGAAAAGGCATCTTCAACCTTACAGTCTTAGACGCTTCATCGAACAACGAAGATATCCGTGCCCTAATGTACTCTTACTCGAATGCTGTCGTTCTATGTTTCGATCTTACTCGCAAAGAAACGCTAAAGAGCATAGAGAGCAAGTGTCTGCCCGAAATGAAGAGAAACTGCTTCGGAGTTCCGTTCATAATCGCAGGGTGCAAGAGAGACGAAATGTGCGACGGGACGGAGGGCTGCGTCTGCGAGGAAGGAACCTGCTGCGATCTCGGGGAGGAAGAGCTGACCGCTCTAATCTTACGAACAGGAGCCAGCGCCTACTTGGATTGCTCGGCCCTCACCGACGAAAACGTGGAGGCGGTCTTCGGCGTAGCGGCGGAATGCGCCTACCCCAAGAGAAAAAACTATGCCGAACGACTCTTTGCCTCCATAAAGAAGAAGTTGTCTGCTGTCTTAGGTACCTCACCAGCTCCTCGAGGAATGATGGGTCCACCCCCTGCAGCAGGGGAATTGTAAACAGAATTGTAAACAGCACACATGTTTAATTATAAGAAAGAGAATAAGAGAAAGGAGAGCTATATACGTACCTAGAATAAAGAAAGACCTCACCCCTCAAACTTCGCAATGATAGGACAATGGGATGATGGCCAGCTACATCTTCAAACTGACAGCAACAAACTCTGCTGGGGCCTCTCCACCATTTCATTTCATCAAAATGAAGGGGGGGTACAGGGATGGCTTGAAGCACCAAAAAGGAAGAAATGAAAAGCACTAAAGTGCAAACCCTCGGCGAACTGCGCATGTGCGGTATATACCACTAATTGATGGGCTGGGCTTTTTATGCCTTTACTCGTGGTATCCCGCTAGTAGCTCGCGGAGAGTCTGGCACGGGCTAGCTACAGTAGTAAATAGCATGCGGGAGTCGATACATGCCCTTCGTTGTGACTTGTTGTGCCTTCAAGACACACAGAGCGAACGGACGCGGTCGAGGTAAGCCTGTGCTAATTTACATATTGGCTTGTTCACTTGGTTTTCACGCCATAACTTTAAAACACAGTAGTTTTACGAAAATCGCCTTTTTTAAAATCAACCCAGTGTAGCACTGAACCCGATCATATCGCTATTTACCTGATTTCGTGCGCGCGGTGGCAGAAAACGTGGTAACAGACAGAGACAGACTGACACACTTACGGGACAACTACCGTAACCCTCGCTGCGCATGCGCGCCGGCGGTTAACAAGGGGTCATTAGCTACACAGCAAAGATGCACAAAGCTACATGACACCATCCCTTTATTGTTTATAGGCAAAGTTTATTAATATGAGACAAAGATATAGGGATGGTGGGTCATGTAGCTTTGTGCATCTTTGCTGTGTAATGACCCCTTGTTTCTTCCTTTTTGGTGCTTCAAGCCATCCCTGTAGCTACCCCCTTGAAAAGATTTTTCCACTTGTTATATAAACGAACGAACCACAATGAATGCGACGGCGATTTTGTCTATTGGAAATGCAAGGGGAGTGGAGTGAGCCGCTATATAGCGCCTTACCTAGAGAGCCACGACTGCGGTCCATGGCTATATACAGGGTAACCAATATCCACTCCACAATGACGCAAAGTACTAAAAGACTACCCCCTAGCGAGAGCGAGAGAGAGAGAGAGAGAGAGAGACGCAAACTACGGCTTAGCTATATACCAGAAGAGCGATGGGGAGACCGCGTAAGCGCGTAATCTCAACGCATGCGCATTAGGCCAACGTAATTTTTTCCCCAACAGTCCATATTATAAGCAAGTGCAGTGGAGAAAAAGCGGTAATAAAAAACTAAAATGTGTGGAATATAGGATGCCATAAAAAGCTAAAAGACAAGACAGGGATGACATGTGATCGATTACTAGTACAACGGGATGATGGGTTACATCTTCAAACTGACATTGTCACCACTTTCACTAACAACATGAATATGTTTAGAACAACAACTGTGCATTACCCGCTTAGGAAATGAGTCATTGTATGAGGGAGCACACTCATGCTTCGCGACAATAATTATAGGGCTTTGGAGGAAAATTTACACAAGCAAGAAAGAAGAGGTCTCTGGCCAGATTGTATAGCTGCTTAGTGGAGAGGTCCCAGCAGAGTTTGTTGCTGAAGATGTAGCTGACCATCATCGCATTGTCCTATCATTGCGAAGTTTGAGGGTGGAGTCTTTCTTTGTTCACAGTCGTATTTTTTCTCTTGGGGTAGACGCATTCCGCCGCTACGCCGAAGACCGCCTCCATGTTTTCGTCGGTGATGGCCGAGCAATCGAAGTAGGCGCTGGCTCCTGTTCGCAACAAGGCACTTGCAACAAAATGCCATTAGAGAACGGTACAGCAGGAACAACAACATTTATAGCATCTGCAACACTGGCTAAATGATGACTTTTTCTTTTTCTTGGTCTTTACGGATTTAAATGTAGCCGTCACTTTTAGCAACTCTGCAGAATGATAATATAGTGCAGTATAGAGTATATAAAAGTAGCTATATATGATCAGGAGTCAGTGCTGGTTTGGTATAGCTATATAGGGCTATGTAGTTGTGCTGCTGTTTTGCTCTGAAACCTCTTTGTTGTAAACTGATATTCATGTGTATCCAGTTAGCTACAAAAGCTACCTGCTCTCTCCCCCAGTGTGTCAATGTTCTCTCCTCTCTCTACTACCTTGGCCACATTCTCTGCTACCTGCTGCTTCACCTGTGACATACATCAAGTTGAGTTAGCTATACCACTACTAAGGCTAGCTAGATTGCGCATGTGTCCATAACAAGGTAGCAAGGCAAAGGTAAACAGCAAGCCAACTACACCCAGGACAGCTCTTTCTCAGCTCTATCCTGGGTGGATTTGAACCCATGACACTCTGCAGTCTTGGCGAGTGTTCTACCGGCTGATAATTATAGCAGGGCAACTCAGCCGGTAAAGAAAGCTTCAATCTAAAGCACAGTACAACACAAGACAAGGCAATCCTCAAATCACTGTGGTAGCTAGAGCAATGAGTGCATATTTTTCTGCCAAACACCCTTAGCACTCTATAGCCATCTTCTTCTGCAAACGTACCAGTGTAGCACATTGAATGAACCCATCATTGTAGCTATAATATAGCTAGCATGCAAATATTATAATATTATGACATAATAATTGTTAAGTGGCATGGTTTACCTCATGTAGCTGGGTCCTTAAACGATCAATAGTGATGTCACCACTACCGTTGTATGCCCTGCAACAAAACCATCCCCAATCACACACCATCAAAATTTCCTCTGTCTATATAAATAGCTAGCTAACCAGTAGCAATTATGTTCTATACTTACATTAGGTTTATCTGTGGCTCCTAGAAGTCAACAGGTTGCTTCCATTGTTGTTCAGTGTCCGTATTCCATATAGTGCCTGCCTCAGCAGTGCTGCATCAACTTCCTATATCTATATATAGCTAGCTACTCACACTGTGGTAGCTACTGTTCAAAGTGCGTGAGACTACAAACTCTAGTTATATACGTGAGTAGCATTACTAGCAAGTGGCATCATAATACTAGCTCGAGGTCATCAGACGTCAGGCGAGGAAAGAGAACCACACATCAACTGGCCATTATAATAACGCACCCACACACATAATACAAAACATGATGCAGGACTATAGTATAGGACAGCAGTTTGTTGTGCCGTCGTGATCTTCTCTATCAGCATCAGCTGCAGTACTGTTCTGGTGAGGTTGACGGTAACCGTTTCGACCGTCTTTCCCACGTCTTTTCCTGGCGCCTGAAGACCCACTCACGTCGTCACTACCAGGTTCAAGCTGGACGTGGTTCTTCCCGGCTGGGTGCGACGGTTGGGGAGGGGGAGGGGAGAGGGCATCTAGATGGTCGTATGTGTCAGGAGGGAGAGTAGAGGAGGGCCTCTTGCCGGATGTTCTGGATCCCGTGTCCACTGATGATGATGACGAGGAAGTCCCTGGGTATTATGGATAATTAACGTGCTACACATTGGCAGACGATCTTCTCTATGGGGTGGAGACACTGTATTCACCCCTATGAGCAAGGATTTGTGTAGTGCCAGAAGCTATTTTCTTGCCTCATTATATGTAGCTATATACCCTCCCCTCCCCAAATAAAAATATCCCCCCACCCTTAGACAAAAAAACCCATTAATATAGCACAATTTTTTGCACTCACCACACTCTAACATCTATTAGCTAACTGCAACACACGCTATTGTCAATAATGACTCATTATCAAACTACGTATTGATATAATTATAGTGCATTCAAGAGGCATCCAAGACATGCAATTTAGTCACGCCCCATCATCACCCAACTATTTCAATAAGCAACCTATATATAATATTACTATAATCATGTGTACATTGGATATTATATGGATCACCAACACGCATAAGTCTATGTTGACAAGTTAAGAGAAATAGTACACATGGTGAGTGGTTTTTGAATAATTATTTATTCTGTTGCCCCAGGTGAGGGAGAGTGGGAGGAAAAAATGTAAAAAATTTGGGAAGAAGCTTTTTTTCTGAATGGGAGTTGTAGCTCAGTCTGTCTGAAACAACTGATTCTTCCCAGTCTGTGGACCTTGGTTTGACTCACAACATTTTGTCCTTGGGCCACAGAAAACACGTCTTCAAAATGGTAGCTAGCTAAGACAGGTGTATATATGCCAAGCTCTGTTCACATGTCAAAAAGAAGTTTATACTACATGTCAGAAGAGAGGATGCTAAGCTTTGTTCACATGTTTAGGATAAGCTATGTTGACATGTTAAGAGGGGTGGATAATACGAAGCTCTGTGGGAATTAGGTAATAAGTAGTGGTACTGTTCCAGGGTTGGACAACTGAGTACGAGATTGTAACGTACGTTGTGAGTCCGAGATTGTAACGTACGTTGGCCGGGACGAAAGAATCCTTTGCCAGACTCTCTCCTCTTTTTCTCACCCAGCATGGAGGCCAGTCTGTTGAACTCTTCAGCTGATGACACCACATGCTCTGTAGCAAGGGGAGCTCATAATACATTTCTGCCCTTCTTGCTTAACTCAAGGCATGGAGGTACACTACAAAAGTACCGACTCTCTATGAGTACTTTATGTTGCTGTTGCCAATAATAGGCTCATGTTAGTATAGCTACCATTATTTGCTCAGTGTAACATCTTTAACAGAGGTATAATTATATCTATTGTACTGAAAGCTGAGAAGAATTTTTTTTATTAACATGAGGCATGTATATACCTCCGATAGGGACCCTCCGAGATAGGGACGACCTCTCTAAAATGGACACTTGTTTCAACCCCGTGTATAGTGTACTTGACCTCCGAGATAGAGACGACCTCTCTACAAGAGACGTAGCTAATCGTTGGCCCCATAGTGTCCCTTGTTCGGAGGTGCCACTGTATAAACTGCCGTGCACACTGACCGGCCGTCTCTGCAGCACTCTGTAGTCTCATCTCTCTGTAGGCTACCTTCTCCAGGTTATCACTCAGTAAATCCTTTGTACTCTAGTGAGGAGAGGTCATGCATTACATAATCATACACTAAGTCATTTACGGTGGAGCTACAGTATACTTTGCCAGGGTTTTGAGTATCTATATGTGAGGACAAGTCATAATCACTCTCACAGGACCAGTGAATGTGTCTCTACAGACTAGAGCACCCACTGTGGCCATCAAGTTAGTGGTGGCAATAATTATGTGCTAGGGCAACCAAGTTTCTGTATTTTCCATATAGCTTTTCCGTATAATACTGCCCTCCTATACCCAATGTTCCTCGCTACACTTGCCACGCCCTTATGAGCACTTTCAGCTTCCCTATTTTCTGATATTTTTCCGCAGATTATTATATTATCATCGAGCAACAGAAGCATAACCAAATTAGACACAAGGCATTGGTATGCAGGCAATGATCTCTTTTTTGATGCATAAGTTAAAAGCACAGTGAATCATAAAGGTGGCCCAGGTGTGTTTATGCTAGATCCAAAACAAACCCCACAAAACTGTACCACATCTGCTTCACATGGCTTTCCCTTGACATTTAGAATGCGCCAGCAACGCAATCATACTGAAAGCCAAGGAGCTCTAGTATGCATAGCTTCCTCATAGATTTGTCTCGTAAACACGTCCACACGTTGATGGCAATGTCATCACGTGCACCCTAAAGCCCATAATGGCACAGTTTTAAGGAAAGGACTTAGCTAAGGTGTTAGCGTTTCTCTACACTCATATTCAAATATCTTAGCTATATACGCCCCTTTCTTCAAAATGTGTACTCTAGGTAGCAATACAACTGTTGGCATACAACTCTTTTGTACTATAATCATCTGTGGCAATACTCCGTAGCTACTCACCTGCTGTCGCTTGTCGTGTGCTTTGCATTTCTCTCCCCTGCTGTTCTTCCTGCTCCGACCAGCCGGGGCCTGCTGCTGGTCTCCGCCACCTCCTCCCAGCTCTGCCGGGACATCCTCCATACCTATCATCTCGAACCCGTCTTCGTCCGTCCCGTCTTCGTCCGTCCCGAGCAAGTCCCCGTGTGCGGTCCTCAGTAGCGCAAACTGGCCCATGGTGATGTCGTGTTTCGTCCGTAGGAGCTCGAGGTCTGCTTGCCTGAGCAGTTTGAGCGTGTTCTCGTGGAGGATGCTCTCTTTCTGTAGAATAGCGATGGTTCCTGGCTGTATGCCACGCTTAGCCAGCCACTTCTGAAATCCCCGGTCCATCGACATCACCTCGCCTAGAGTATTTTAGGTGGTGGGAGTGACTGTATATATTATGTGCTAAGAACGTACGTTGGGTAACGGACTATCAAAACTGACTATATACTACTTATATCCTACTCCGCACATGCGCATTATTTTAGCTTTCAGTAGAATTATACAGCATCGTCTGCACCCATCACTGACCATGAGTCAAGATTTAAAGATCTATTGTTCTGAGGTGTCCTTCTTACTATGGGGGAGAACCAAGTTCCCAACAGCTTATAGAGATGTTTTCCTTTACGGTGTTTCATAGTGAGGCCCTATTGGGAGCTTGAGGACCCTTTTTCAGAGACGTGTCATGATAATAATGGTGCATCAATACAAAGGGACATAGCTACATAGTTCTACAACAAGGACATCTACTCCTGCCCCTATCATTAGTCGGTTTATCACTCTCTTCTTCCTCCTTGTGGTGCAAGTGGAGCTTCTCGTCATCGCTGGTGTAGGAAAACGAAGTGGGCGTGGCTGAGCGTGAGCGATCTCTGTCAATGTCTATGGTGCCATAGGACGGTGGATGATGATGGTGGTGGGGCGAGCGGTGACGAATTGGGTCAGACTGAGGTCCTTGGGTGGGAGTGTGGGGAGGGGGTGAAGATGGGAGGGTGGAGGGTGAGGGGGAGTGAGGGGGGGCGAGGTGGGGAGTGGAAGAACTCATCCTCTCCCTCTCGCTGTGGGGTTGAGGGAGGGTGGTGGTTGCTCTCTTGTCCTCTGTACTGGCTGCTTGCATGGCTGGGGGTTCAATTTATATAAAGATGGAAGGAGAAGAGATTGAGGAGAGTGAGGAAGGGAGGGACGAGAGAAGAGAGAGAGAAGAGCAAAATCAATTATTATGTGTGGGTTACAGATATTCAGCTGTGTGGTGTTAATGGAGTTTAACAAGTGACTTACAAGTTCATTCGTCAACGTGGGACTTAAGGTTCTAGCGCAACAAGATTGAACTGGGAATAATGGTCTATTAACCAGAGACTACACAGAAAGTTAGTATAGGAGCTTCTACTTCACTGTGTCTCATAATTATATACACAGTTTGACCCTCCAAATTTATGACTATGAAATACTTTGTTCTGCTCCATACTAAATTGTTTTTCTCTCTTCCATCAACCAGGTCAACTTAGGATATTATTATATTATACCTCCATAAAAGGGATCTCTTAAACAATGTCGTGTTCCCCAGGGTGTTCCTTATTTAGAAGTTTCACTCTATACGTATTCCTTACCATACTTGTCTTTTTTCTTCTGCTTCTTTTTCTTCTTCTTTCCTCCGACTGTCTGTTTCTCTGCCAACTGGGCACAGATGCTCTCATAGTCCATGGCTGTCGACGCCAATCCTCCTGCACAGAATGAACGGAGCGAAAAACAAAGAACCCTTTGGACCCCATGGGTATCTCCTTAAATAAGCAGAAAATCACGTATAAAGTATTATCGCCAAGTATTATAACCCCTATATAAATTCTTATGGACCTATGGAGGCTCTGGACACATTTTATGTGTCCGTGGCTGGTTAAAATACTAGTACATAGGCTAGTACATAGGCTCATATCTATGTACAGCAGAGACATAGGAACAATAAGAAACAGAAACGGTAGAATATTTCGGCCCGGAGGCCTTCCTCAGGTATATACACTGACTGACTGCCAACTGGTGATATCGACGGGCTGTATAATTATGTCTCAGCACAAATCGTTTAAAATACTAGTACCACTCAGCATTACAGGCTATGTCTCAGCACAAGAGTATGACTCAATGCAGAGCATTACGGGCAGTGGGACCAAAGTTTCACTAGAACATCAATGCAGAGCATTTTGGGGAGAGTAATCGAGCTAGAAGAGAGCTGCCAACAAAATTTCAAACTTGCAGAAGTGCGTAGCTACTTCAAATGCATGTGTAGTTGGACAAAGTACACTGACCTACCGATTTAGCATAGTACAATAGAGAATTGCACCATTCAGATCACTAGGTTAGCTTAGCCCTCACTCGCCAATAAAGACGTATGCTATATAGTTGTATGTACAGCCCATAGTCCTGATCACAGCGTACAAAAGTTTTGCAGTGCAGAAATACCTCCGTGGGATCACTTAATTCACCATCATAAGAAATAGAGAACTTGTCGTTTCATTGGGCAACCGGCAAAATCCAAATTTGTAGGCCAGCTTGAAAGGAGCACCTTAACAAGAACTTTATGCAATGTGGCTTAGCCCCTTTTGCTGTATGTTAAATAAGCCATTGTGGTGTGGGGCTGTTTGAAAGGAGGACAACTACAATGTTAGAGGAGTTCAATAGCCTTGAATATGTGAGTCTCCCGGAAGTAATAGTCTCTAAGTGTAGTTTGTTTTGCTCTTCCCTTGATACTAGGGCAACTATTCAAAGAGCATTGTCTAGATAAGCTAGTATGCTATGTGAATACCTCTTCCAGGAAAGGTTAAGAGCCACAGTCTATGTAGTAAAAAATGAAGCAAGGAAAAGTGGCATACAGCTCCCAGCTATATAGCTACCTAGCTACACTGCTCAAAAGCAAGGGGAATGCACATACTATATACTACTAAAATCTATTAGACTTCACCTGAGCCCTCAATTTCACAGGCAAACTATGAGTACATAGCACAGCTGTAGTGTGGTGTGGCTACCCTTACTACTCCTAGAGTAGTAAGCCTGTTTTGAAGGCAGTGAGGGCAAAGGCAGAGTCAGAGTATTGGTTGGAGTGTGGAGGTTTGGTGTTGGTGTTTATTTGTGGGGCCAGTTTCCTACATTAACAACATGGTTCAGGGAATTTTAAAATAAAAAAGGCTTGCCTTCTTGGGGGAAAAAAAATCCCCAACCCCCAAAAACCTTTCCGCCCAGGGGGGCCCAAAAAGGGGGGACCTTTTGTTTTTCCCCATTTTAAAAACCCACCCCCCACCCAAAAACCCAGGAAAAAAGGAGTGGGGGGAGTTTATTTTAAATTCTCCACCCAGGCCAGAACTTTCTTAAAACATTTTTTAACCTCTTGGGAGAAAAAAAAGTCTGGTTATCCTCTT